TTCCACTAGTTAGAAAAACTTTTAGTATTGTGCTAGTGAAGATGGCAAGGACAAAAACACAAGATATTCTTGGTTTTATTGAGAGGGATTTTGAACATATCTTAACTATCATTAATTTTCCAAGAAATTTCGTTTTAAAAGATGCCCAGTCTGAATGAATAGCTTATGCAATAAAATTACAACAGAAACAAAGGACCTCAAATAATATTCTTTTGAAATTTAACATCAGTTTAGAGAATATATATTGACAATTATATGACTTTATTATTTGTCTGTTCATTTACTTATTCATTCAACAATTATTTGAGTTCATATTGTGTAATACTACGATTGGAAAATTACTACAGGAGATCTATGCAAACAGGGCTGTAAGATGAGAGAGAAGAGAGGGTTTGGCAAAGGAATCTTCCCATAGAAGTTATCTTGTGATCAAGCTTTGAGCTACACAGCAAATGAGGAAGGAAAGAATACCCCAGAGGCAGAGAAAGGTTTATGCAAATAGAGAGAGGCAGGTTTGGGCACCTGAGACAGGAAAGCTTGAAAGGACTAGATCATAAAGGTCTGTAAAATTCATACCAAGGAAAACTAGCTACATCCTGAAGTTAACAGGGGGTTCTTTGAAGGGACACAGGGACTCTTATAATCAAATGTGTGATTTACAAAGCTCATTGGAGGAAGGCCAGCTGGAAGGATTCGGAATGGTTACAAGACTACTGCAGTAGTTTGGGGATTGACTATAAAGCCAGGTGATGTGGATGAACACCTCTGTGCTTGTATGTGGTTGTATCAATGAGTGTGACCTCTTGTGGGTAATTTTAATAAAAATCTGTCGACAAATATTTGACTTTTATTTTAAAAAATGCGTAAAATAGGCGCTCAAGTGTGGACTTTATGGTTCCACCTAGTTATATCATTTTACCTACTCTTAGAGGTAAAGTAATGAAAACATTAATTGGATGGCCGTACAGAAGTTTGGGACAACTACTAGTATTTTCTTTATTTTTAAAATGCTGCCATCTAGTGAAACTTTTGTAAAATCACTTTGTGGTGATCCCATTCAAGTTTGTATCTTCAGGTCCTTTACTCAAAACAGTTACTTTTTAATAATTTATATTTTTTGCCATCGATGGGGAAAGAACTGTACATGCATTAAAACATATTGTAGGAGCCGCAAGTGATTTTTTTACGTGGTGCCACAGATGTGACCACAGGGCTTTTAATAATGGGATATGGTAGGTGAAGCTTCTTGGTTTCTTCATTGTGCCATTGTTTATAAATAATTGATAATAAAATAGAAGTGCTGTCTTTTCTATTCCTCGAGTTTTCTAAGAAAAGTTGAATTGTAAAAACATATCTATGAAAAATTGAGTTGTAAAAATTGCTTCATTAAAAAAAATTGCTTTAATTAAAAATGTTGGTAAGAAAAAAGATTTCAAATTCAGAACTTTTTTTCCCCAAATGGAATTTCAGTATAAAATGTGTATCTTAAAATATAAACAAACAAATGTGTGTGTGTGTTTGTATCTATTGAACCTAAACATTAGTTTGCAAATTCAGGTTTTGATAACCTCTATATTTTGATAGAGATTAATTTTATGTCTTTCTGTCGCTCCCAAAACTTATGTTAGCATGGAGCATCTGTTGTATTTTTATGACATGTATTAATTATTTTGTGTGTGTGTGAGAAACAAAGCACAAATACCCCTCTCAAAAAAAAATCAGTTATATAATGCCAGTAAGAATTTATTCTTTTATGAGATGCTAGTTCTGGCCACTTTATAATGAGTAAGGTTTCTAATTAGTTGACTCTTCAATATATTGAGTTTTCTTTATGGAAACTATTGCTATGGGGTAGGGGTTAGCAAATTTCTTTTGTAATGGGCGAAACAGTAAATATTTTATACTTTGTCAGGCATATGATCTCTGTTGTAAGTACTCAATTCTGCTTGCAAAAGCAGCCATAGACAATATTTAAACGAATGAGACTGGTGGTGTTCAAATATAAATTTTATGAAAAGCAGGTTATAGTTTGCATCCCTCTGTTCTAGGGAAAGTCCCTATAATGGCAGTTTGGGATTATCTATTCTTAAGAGGTGTTAGAACAATCTAAAATTGGTCCCTCTGCAATTATTTACTTCAAAAACTTCAATCGATAAATGTGTTTCTTCAAAGTTGCAAGAAATCTAAAGTTTTGAGAATGTCATTATTGTATGTGCACTTAGTAAGCTAACAATAGAACTCAGAGGTAAAACATTTTTGCTTTTTTTTTTGTGAGGAAGATCAGCCCTGAGCTAACATCCATGCCAATCCTCCTCTTTTTTGCTAAGGAAGACTGGCCCTGGGCTAACATCTGTGCCTATCTTCCTCCACTTTATATGGGACGCTGCCACAGCATGGCCTGACAAGTGGTATGTCGGTGCGCGCCTGGGATCCGAACCCAGGCCGCCAGCAGCAGAGTGCACGCACTTAACCACTACGCCATGGGCCGGCCCCCATGGTAAAACATTTTTGAGAAGTGAACTATCACCCCCATTTAATGATCACTTTTTTTCTTTTTTAATTCATTTTCATGCACAAAGTTGTCTCAATGTGGAATGAATCACTAGATTCTATAAGTAAAACATTTAACATTTTGATATGCAGAAAGCTAAATGGTTTTGATGGTAAGCCATTAAATTAGAAAGTTACTAGTGGGTACAATTTCGGATAATATAAATTCACTGCTCGAGGTTGTCCTTCTGGGAACTTAGTGGAAGAAAAGGCTTAGTTTCTAAAACACTGAATTCTATTAGGCAGACATACAAAACACTTGAAACCATACAAGTAAATGACTAAGAATAGAGTTAGATTTAGATAGCAAGAGGTTGTTAGGGTTTCAAGTCAATGTATAGGGAGAACACAGTGCAGAGTCAAAAACGACATCATTTTCATGGGTCACCTTTTGTCAGCTGATCTAGGCAGGAGTTGGTCGCAGGGATCCTGCTGATCTCAGCTGAGCTCACTCATGCATCTCTGACCAACTAAGGGGGAGGTGGGGAGAGCGGCTGATCCAGGCTGAGCTCAGGTGAGGATGACTCTGATCCACAGTTCTTTCATCTTCCATGTGGGCCAGGAGGCCAAGCAAATCCTTCTCACAGAGATGGCAGAGGGCAAGAGAGAGCAAGCGTAATCATTCAACTGCTTTGGAGACTCTGCTTGTATTACATGTGCTAACATTCATTGGTCAAAATAAGTCACCTGGCTGATCCCAGTGTCAGGGAATTGCACCTGCCCCACAGTGGGAGGAACTGAAAAGTTACATGGCAAAAGACATGGATATACAAGGCACGAAGAATTGCAACTGTTAAGGCAATTTACCACAGCATGTATATACTTGAATTGATTAAATTAACCCCCCACATAATGTGGGGTTAAGTGATAAACTGAAAACTTGTATTAACTTGTTCAGGTTAGTAGGAGACACTAAAGCAGTGGTTCTCAAACTTTTTAGTAATGCAAACCTTTTACATGCTTAAAAATTATTGAGGACCTCGAAGAGTTTTTGATATTGTGTTTATATCTCTCTATGTTTACTATATTTGTAATTAAAATAGAATTTTAAAATGTGTTTATTTATTTTAGGATAATAATAACAAACTCATTTTAGAATAACAATAACAAATCCATTACATAGTAACATAAATAATGTATTGATAGGAAACAAAACTATATTTTCTAAAAAAAAAAAGAATGTTCTATATTTGGCAATTCTCTTTACTGTTTGGCTTAATAGAAGACAGCTGGTTTTTTATATCTGCCACATTCAATCTCTTGTTTTTTTTTCTTGATGAAACATATGAAGAAAATTGATCTTCATACAGATATGTAGTCAGAAAAAGCAGAAGTAGTTTAATAGCCTTTTCAATTAATTGTGAATATTCTTTGATACTGCACTGGAATTTGATGAGTGAGAACTTCTTGGGATCTGTGGTATAGAATATGAAACCAAATCACTGAACTTTCTGTGCTTTGTTAGATTAAAATCCATTGGTTAATTTTGCATTTTGAATAGATCTTTTATTCCTGCATGATACATAACATCAAGCATTGGTCATTTGGAAAATATTGGATCACTGAGTTAGGCATATTTTCCAAATATTTACATATTTTGTTATATATTTTTAAAAAAATTATACATACTGCTTAAACTCTTCGGAAGTGTCTTTAAATACTGGAGAGTAGTCATACTCATAGAAGTGGATACAATTTTTCCAAAATTCTAATTTCCCTGGGAAACTAGTTTTTTCGCTGGCAACAAACGCTATGAGTTGTTTTCCTTGAATTGACAGACTCACATCTTTCATTTTCAAAAGAACGTCTGTCAGATACATGAGTATGAATTACTATTGTTTGTCTACCTGTTGCTCTTTCATCCAAATGGTTCATGAAGTAAAAGTGGCTAGTTCGGTTTGCAACTCAAATAATTGCATAAGTGAATTACTTTGTGACAACCATCCTACTTCAGAATGTGGTCAAATGTTTTATGCATATTTCCCACATTAAGCCTTAAAAATATGAGAATTAAAGTATTAAGATTTAATACAAACATCATTTTTACAGCTTTGTCACGAAGATTTTTATCTTTTTTATTATCTTTTTTTTGTCCCTGCTGCAACTGAAGGGCCTTCACGTACAATGACTGCTGGTACAGTTTGATGCCACTGCCTTGATTTATGCTAAGTTGCCATCAGTTTACACATTGCTGCTTTTGCATTATCAGTGCAAATGTCAACACGGCAAAAAAAGGCAAAGACTGTCTTCGTATTACGAAAATTGTTTTGACCGACCTGAAAGGGTCTTGGGAAGGCCCAGGGTTGTGTGGTTCACACTTTGCGAACCGCTGCACCAAAAGATGAACGGTATTTATGGTCCAATAGTTTGTCAAAGATTTTTTTAAAGATATTTGTACTTACTATTTCTAATCATTAAGCAAATTTAAAATTGGTTATGTTCTTCCCCAGGGTTGTTTTGTTGGCTTTGATCTAGCACATGCAGTTGGAAATGTTGAACTCCACTTACATGACTGGGGAGTTGATTTTGCCTGCTGGTGCTCCTACAAGGTACAAACTAGTTGATATACTTACATCTTTTTATTCCAAATTGACATTAATCTAAATGAAAAACAGGATCGGTGGCCAATTTTAACTATTTGAATTACTTTCCTCCATTTCTTTTATTACAGTATTTTCTGATTTTAGTTAATTGTGGAGTCATATGATAGAATAGTACAATAAAAAGTCAAATTCTTGGGCTGGCCCCATGGCACAAGCAGTTAAGTGCGCGCACTCCGCTGTAGTGGCCTGGAGTTCACCGGTTCGGATCCTGGGCGTGCAGCGACGCACTGCTTGGCAAGCCATGCTGTAGCGGCGTCCCATATAAAGTGGAGGAAGATGGGCATGGATGTTAGCCCAGGGCCAGTCTTCCTCAGCAAAAAGAGGAGGATTGACAGATTTAGCTCCGGGCTGATCTTCCTCAAAAAAAAAAAAATTAAATTCTTGTATTTCCATCCATTATAGAGTACTTATTCCTTCAATTCTCTGGCTACTATGAAAAAGTCAGGAGATTCTGGAAAAAAAACTCCACACTTAAAGCTTAATTCAAATTGATTAGGTTCTTAGTTTTTATGTTGATATGTTGTGAAATTTCTACATTTGTGAAGATAATTCTTATGGAATCAACTTGGTATTGACATTTGAAGACAATTTAATTGACAGCATAGAAATGAAACCAGTTTTATTTTAACTTAGGTGTTTTTAAAATATGATCCTTTTATTATTATTTAAATATTTTTGTGACAAAATAATTGAAATGAATGAGCTTTGAAATCAGATGGACTTCAGTAGAACTGTTGTCTTTGAGTTGGGGCAAAATTTGGCTAAAAGCGTATTCTTAATTGATAATGCTGTCTCATTTTCTTCGAACAAGGTGGCCCAAAATTCTGTTTTATTACTAAAGCTCAAATAATCACACATTTTGAAATTGGTCAAAAGTTGGTTTCACAACAAAAAAGTCAAATGATTACATTGTTTGTTTTTGTCATATATTCAGGTAAACCTATACAATGTAATTTATTTTCAATCCAGTATTTAAATGCAGGAGCAGGAGGTCTTGCTGGTGCCTTTATCCATGAAAAGCATGCCTATACAATTAAACCTGCGTAAGTACCATCTTCAGATTCTTCTTGGGTGATGAATACCTTAATTTGCATTAATAAAATGCTAAATTTACATTAGTTCTTTAAGATGCTATCCAATAAGAATCTGGATTGATTATAATTATTTTACTACTCTATTAACAATGATATGCTTTATCAGAAATAAATGCTTTCCAAAGAGTTCAATGGGTTGAACAAGAAATTTAATCACAAAAAGGGAAGCTTCAGTGCTAAAAATGAGTCACTGTAATCATGTAAAGCAGATAGTTAAATGCAAAGGAACTACTTAATTTTTTTTTTCAAAAATTAGACTTTAGAAAATTTCAGATTCCTCACATTGATGAATAAATCAAAGGCAACCATAGCTATGCCTAATAAAGCCTTAAATGTGGTATGTTATTATTAAAATTACATCTACCTTTAAAGCCAGAAATATTATATGATAGTCTCGTAAGGAATATCTTCTGTCCTAAAAGATTTTATAATCCATGAAAACTGAGGAAGCTGAACACTGAACAACAGACTGACTACATAAAAAGCAATACTTTTCTATTTTATATAACTTTCCTCATTTTTTAGAGCAAGTGTAAATGCAAATATGATACACCAACAAATTTATACATTTTTATTTGACTTGGGAACTCATAAGTGTTCCTTTTATTTTTATCTGGTGTGGAGATAAAGAAATAATATTCAGGAAAAAAAACCCTTTCGTAGTTGTGTCAGAATATGTGTGATGAAGAGACTGTCTAGACTTCTAATAGGTAATAATAATGTTTGATTAATTTTCTGAATCTTCTCAGCCACTGGTATAATCTTTACAAGAATTGAAGATGAATTGATAATAGAGCTTGGAGCACCTCACATTTCTGAGATTCGAGGCATATAAATCCTAGAAATTTAAGATGATTTTCTATAGTTCATTTAATCACGTCTAAAATTTCTTCAGATTTTAAAATTAAATAGAGCATTTTCTTTACACAGGTATTTTGTCAGGCAGACATCTTCCTTGAATATATTGTCAGTACATCAGATTTCTCTCCATGTCCCAAATTCTCTGAAAAGAATATAAAGCATGTATTATATAAGAATACCATCCATGTTTTAAAAAGGCTTTTTTTCATTTTCAGCAAACCCCATTGATGACATTTTACCTAGCATAATTGTTTTTCATATAGACAGTATATAAGATATTGCTTGCTTTTGTGTGAAGACTCACCACCCTGACCATTTTCCACTCTCCACTTATTAAATTGTAATAGAAGATCTGATGTATTAAATCAACCCAAAGGGCAAGCAGGTGGGGTGGCAGGGGGTGTGGTAGTAATCTACACAAATTCTTGAGAATGCAAGTGTTAGCAGTTGAACTCTGATCTTACAGCATATGTCTATTGCACTTGATATTTCTTTCACCATTAATTACCCTTCATGGATGAGGAACAGAAGAGGGCACAAGTGTTGTACTGTGCTTACATGTGCCCCATCTCGTGGAATCTCAACATCCTCTCGACACAGTAAGTGATTAGTAAGTCTGTGTTCCCAGGAGGAAGACCATCTAGACAGACCAGATTCACACTCCAGCTTGATCACTGCTGGTCCGTAACCTGAAGAATGTTCCTTGACCTCTCAGTGTTCAAGCATCTAAACAAAGATAACACCAGCATCACCTCATAGGCAATTATTGTGAGAATAAAGGGGATGATGCATGGACAGCGCTAGGCACAGCCCCTTAAATATTACTGTGAATGTGATTTATTATATCTTCCTTGCCTCCCTCTCAAGCTGCGAGTTAACTTGTAGGCGTAGAGATCATTTCTCTCAACAGGAAACATAACCCCAAAGGTTATGGTTTGTGACCTTTAGGATGTTAAACAGATTTGTATCTATCACCAAGTTCATTTGATCCGGCCTTTGACAGACTGTGTAAGTCTCCATTCCTGAATTCTCTCTTGTACTGGCTTTACCATCTTACTAGTTCCCTCACTAGTTAATGAGCTGAATGAGATCTTTATGTGTGTTCCTTTTATATTTGTATCAGAGCCACGCTTTTAAATTTTTAAAAATTATATGTTATTAATTGTTGCATTTTAACTGTCTGGCTTTGGAGACTAACAAAACTCAAATCAGGCTTGACTCATGAAGCCCTCCTTAGGAGAAACCCTGGTTGCTGTTTTTTTGTCGTTAAACCTTCTTTCTATGTGATGGCAGAGTGACTAATTCCAGTGTTGCCACCTTCTACCCTGTAGTGGAACGTAAACTGCTGTTGATGTTGCCAACTTTGTGAAGTCAACTTTGTTGCTTAAAAAAGGGTGACATCTGGTGGCCAAACATGTTATTTCAACTAAATGGTATCCAAATAACATTTCTTTTCCTGGTCCAGTCATTCATTCTTTATCAAGTATTTTTAAAGTATATATATTTAAGTTATTTTTTCTTTTATATTATTTGTTTATATATTTATAGTGCAATGGTGTAGTCAAATCCTTTGATAAAGATGTAGAACAGGATGAAGGTGGAATTTAAGGTGTGGGGCTTTCTAGATGCATGGTTAATCAGAATGCATAAATGTTCATCCAGGCTGAGGAAGAAAGGCATTATGGGAGTGGTTGGCCCACCTGGCATAGAGAGTGGATTCCAGGATATGTAACCCTGCATTCTAAAACTTTAATATTCAGTATATAATTTTGAAATATCTTTCATGTGAGGTTTCCATTAGCAACTGGTAAATTACATCTGTAGCAAGAAATTTCGCTTTCTTTTTTTGTTTAAAGAGACATTTTCGCCATTGTTCAAAACTGATGACCTAAGACTTTTTCCAAGAACCCTTTGCCAATAAAGAGAATGAGTAGAGACCAGAGTCAATCCACTGCATTAAGCATCATAACTCAAGCTGTTATTGTCAACTAGAATTTGACCATTTTCTAGTTTATCGTCATCTTTTCCCATCCCAGTGTAATATTCTAAACCTTGTCTGTAGCTAAGAATTATACTAAATTAGGGCTGGTTGTGAATAAATGTCATCTTGTGTTTTTTTCCCCTTGGGGCTGACTTGAATTTAGTCTACAAAGTTAATAATTATTGCTCTGAGATATGAAGGGAAATACTTTTAATTGTAAGAATTTGGCAATCAGAACTGTATCACTAAAAAGAGTACTTAAATACCTTGAATTTTTCTTTTTAACTTTATAAATGTCTTTTCTGACATACTTTAGATCAATACTTAACCTTTTGATTTTAGGGGATTCAACGGTATCTAAAGCCCATAAAAAGATTCTTCTATAAGAGCCCATAGACTGCAATTCAAGATGCCCCCCCTTTTTAGAGAAACTCTAGCATGAAAACAGGAGAGATTATTTGAGCTATTAAGGTTTCTTCTATCACTTATTTTTTTACCCTGTCCAGTGAAATCATACATGCTATAAAACTGCTGTTCCTCACTTTCCATGGTGGCGTTAACAAACCTCCAAATGCTTTCATGTATTAGACCTCTTGAGATACTCATTTCCCCTGGGGTTTTTTGTTGTTGTTGTTGAAGTTTTCTGAGTGGCCAAGAATGGGGTCTACTGATAATTTTGATGAAAATTCTGGAATTTCAAATCATGCCAACACATTTCCATAAGCAGCTAGAGGTGTTTGATTGAAGGCTTTAAATAGAGATGACATTTTACAGGTTTTATTAAGGGTTTGAGTCATCTCCTTTATTGTGATAAGTAATTGGCAGATTAAGAAGAACCAGCTGAAGAGGCTGGCTGACTTTAGTGCATGGTTAAGGCAAATTTTAGAACTCAGAAATTATTATTATTATTTGGCAACTTAAAAGAAAGAAGACACATCAAACAATATTCAGGAAAATCTAACAAAGGATAAAAATAAGCATCAAGAAAATTTAGCAAAAGAACTTCAAAAATTATAAGCTTATGCCATGCTTTGCCCGAGTGTACAATGAATATTATATGGGGAGATCATCTAATGCACATCTGTTCTGGAGAATGCTGACTTGATATATTTGATTCTACATGCTTCTCCAGGCAATGCTGGAGAACGCTGTAGCCCCAAACTTATCTCTAACGTAAACCTTGTTTTGGTTTCTTAGTGATTATTTCTGACTTACTACTTATCATATCTTTGTCTAGTACCTGTAGTAGGTCTCCTTGTTAAAGGAGAACAAGGAGTGTAGGTAGCAGTAGCAAGGTGTGTGAATTCAAGAGACTCAGAGGCCTTCAAATGGGAAAGGCCAATATCAAGAGATTTCTCAGTGAGAATTTTCCCAGAATCTCTAGTTGAAATATGACCTAGACCTCCCAGGGCATCTGTTCTACATATTTGGCCTGTATGTGGAGTTAGGTGTTCAGTATTAACACGGATGACTTTTCAGCCACAACTTCTTGACCTCTCAGATATATTAGACATACTTGGCCATCCCGTTTGTCATTAATGTTTACCTCCTACAGCCCTAAGCTTCCAGTGTACCATTTTCTCTTGCTTCTGCTCCAATGTATATGATTACTCTTCTGTATTTTACAAGGTTACTCTTTTGCCTTTTCATTGATTCTCTTCCTGCCTCAACCTTTGGTCCTCATGCCCAGGAGTATCTCATCCACAGTCATGATTTCAACAGTAGACATTTGTAGAGGACAACAGTTTGTATTTTCAGTTTTACCATTTGCTTACTTTTTAGCACTTATTTCCACCTGATTGCAAATTGCAAGAGTACCTGATTATCAAAGCGTTATCCCAGTCCCCAAAGATACATGGTAGTGTAGGAAAGCAAAGATTATCACAATAGGAAATATTCACTAATGAACTACCCACTTACAAAAGTAGCCCTTACTGATCACCCTTTCCCAATTAATATTAGCATCTATCTCTATGAATTAATATAAAAAGTCTTGGTCTCTTGCTGATTATAGAATGTTATAAATATCAGATAATGAAAATGGATTGTGAAGTAAAATTTTTTAGGAGATTCAGGATTTCACGATGCAAGTAATACTGAAGAGCTG